CTCATCACGAAACTTTTCAGTAAATATCTACATTCCTGTTTGTCATCACGTAGGTTTTCAGTAAATATATTCCTAACTGTTTGTCATCACGTAACTTTTCAGTAAATATCTATATTTCTAACAATGTTTCTCATCACGTTACTTTTCAGTAATAATCTATATTTCTAACTGTTTCTCATCACGTAACTTTCAGTAAGTATCAATGTTCATAACTATGTTTTTCATCACGTAACTTTTCAGTAAGTACCTATATTTCTTTTTCTCATCACGCAACTTTCAGTAAATATCTATATTCCTAACTGTTTCTCATCACGTAACTTTTCATTAAATATCTACATTCCTGTTTCTGATCACGTAACGTTTCAGTAAATACCTTGTATTTCTTATCACGTAACTTTTCAGTAAATATCTACATTCTTAACTGTTTCTCATCACGTAACTTTTCAGTAAATATCTATATTCCTAACTGTTTCTCATCACGTAGCTTTGCAGTAAATATATTCCTAACTATGTTTCTCATCACGTAACTTTTCAGTAAATACCTATATTCCTAACTATGTTTCTCATCACGTAACGTTTCAAAAAATATCTATATTCCTAACCCTGTTTCTTATCACTTACGTTTAAATGTCTATATTCCTAACTATCATTCTCATCACGTACCCCTTCAGTAAATCTTTACATTTGAAGTTGTTTTTCTCATCACGTAACATTTCAGTACATCTGTAGTCTAAACTATTTCTCATAAAGTTTCAGGAAATCTCTCTGTTTTGTTTTTCATCATGTAATTATCTTCATATTAGATAACTTTTACTACTTTTTCATTTATAGTTTATTTAATTTTATATGAACATTTTCGAAAAGAAACTTTTTTGGTGTTAAAATTGTATTATAATTCATTATGTAAATTAATTATGTTTTTTTTTTCGGTAACCATACTGTTTATTGTATATTGACGCAAACTATATTCATCCACCATAACTTGTTACATGTACATCTGCACACGTGACTTTAATGTTAGGGTTTTTCTGATGTAGGCTTAGATGATTAATTGTAGATGAAATGTCCCTGTTATTCCAGAGGAAATAATAAAAATGGCCGAAATAAAAAAAAAGCTTGTTTTCTGATTGAAAATTTGCATACATTTTTCAGATATGGTCAACTATGTTCATTCTGTATTACAAACAGTTAAGTTTGGGTTTCTGTTTTTGTTCTTTTAACGTTAATTTGTAAATCCTACAACACTTTGTATTATATTTTCATTTTCTGCTACTCCAGTATTTCAAACAAGTATTATGAAAAAAAAAATATATTGCTAAATATGAAAGCAATGTAGAGCTGATTACTGAACTTGAAAAAAGTAACCAAACAAGACAGGGAAGGAAGTAGACATGTCACGTGATCCAGCTAATAATCACATAGTAGACTAAGCTGTCTCGACTTTACATGGAGAATAAAATACCTATATTACTGACTTCCCCACTTTGTTTATCTAAAACTTGGTGTTTGAATAGAATCTCAGCTTTCATTATTATACCTTTCCTTTAGTTAACTTTAGAATATAACTTTTATGACTATTTTACTGTTTTTTTTCTGGTTCCATTTGTTTTGTCAGTGAGGAAGCCAGTAATGTAGAGATTTTATTCTCCATGTGAAATCGAGATAGCTTAGTCTGCTATGTGATTATTAGCCGATCAAGTGATATGTCCACTTCCATCCCTATCTTGCTTGGTTCCTTTTTTCAAGTTCAGTAGCCAGCCCTACATAACTTTTGTATTTATCGATAAATTTTTTCTAATACTTGTTTGTTTACGTTTTTTTATA